AAATTGTTTTGTATTTTCCTTCTGCCTCAAAACTTCATCCAACGGCAATTATATGTACATGGCATTTTATCAGTTGACTTTCTTGAAAAATTGTCCATTGATATTTAAACATGCTAAAAGGAAGAAATAAAGATGGCTAAAGAAACATTTCAAAAAGTGTTCAACATTGTCAGTAATTAGGGAAATGCAAATTAAAGCCACCCTAAGGTCTCACCTTACTTCAACCAGTTTGGCCAGGATCAAGAGAACAAATGATACCGAATGCTGGGGAGGATGTGGAGAAAGGGAAGAGCTCATTCACTGCTGGTGGGATCGCAAACTTGTGCAACCTCTATGGAAAACAGTGTGGAGAACTCTTAAAAACCTAAAAATGAACCTACCATATGACCCTGTTATACCACTCCCTGGCATATACCCAAAGGACTCATCCTATTGTAGAGACACTTGTACAACCATGTTTGTTGCTGCTCTTTTCACAATAGCTAAGACATGGAAGCAGCCTAAGTGTCCCTCAGCTGATGAGTGGTTAACAAAAATGTGGTATACTTACAGAATGGAGTTCTATTCAGCAGTAAAGAAAGATGAATTAATGAAATTTGCAGGTAAATGGATGGATCTAGAAACTGTTACACTGAGTGAAGTAACAGACTCAGAAAAACAAGTGACATGTTCTCCCTCATATGTGGATCCTAGCACCAAATCCTTTTAAATTCCAGGTTCTTTTAATAAGATGATGCTATACAGCAGTCCCTTCTGTATGAAATAACTACCAACATCATGACTTCAGCTGAGCCTGATTGCTAAACATGGTCACAATTGGGCTTGTTGATGGTTGTGCTCATTCATTAAAAGAGGGCCAAGCAGGGTCATTGGACCCTCACCAGAGTATCCAGCCACACTTCCCAGCCACCTGTATGTAATTTGACCCTCATCACACATGGCCCCCTGGATTTGGGGAGGGCTAGGAAGAAAAGGCATGACCCGTGCTGGGTAAAGGCTTTCCAGTGTGCATACCCTCAGGTCATACATACATATACCTCAGCAACCCCTCAGTTATCTTGGTAAGTAAGCTCAATAAATTCATTGGTTCCCCAGTAAAACTTTAATCAAACATTGGCTTGACACTAGAACCTTAAAAGAGAATAAGCATTGCTTAGCATCCCCAGGAAAAGAAGTCACACA